TATAGTTTGTATTCAGTTTTTTTGGCTTTGTGTGGCCTAACCTGTTGTGCCTTGCATGCTATAAACATTGAATTATGTTACAAAACCGAGATTTGGTCTTATGCTGAGCATGTGCTACTGCTGGTGAATGGGATCAGGTTAAGCTTTGTGTTGCTATTCTTTTGCATAACCTAAAGTAAATAAGGAAAACCAGCTGTTAAATAGCTTAATTCCACTATTTATCCTCCACACAACTAAAAGGGACCTCTCAATGCAGTGCCAAATCAGACAAACCATTTCTAACGTAATATAGGCTTGAGCTGTAGCTGGGCAGAGTTGCACAACAATCTCATCTGTCATTGAGACATTTCTATAAGCATGGGGAGGAGGTGGATGAAAGGAAATGTAAAATATAGGTAGAGTGGTATAGGTCTTATCACTGGCTGATAATGGTCTATATTAATGCCACTGCTGACTGCTGTTCACTTTACGTGGTTCAAATGTTATTCTGTTATAGTTTATTAATATTTTATTACACTATTTGGTTCAGAATATATTTTCCCTGTGTTCCTCCTCTAAAAATTAGGTGCGTCTTAAGGTCAGGTGCGTCTTATGGAGCAAAAAATATGGTAAATTGTGAGCGTTCTGTACCTAGAAAGCCCTGAGAACGGTTGCCGTAAGTCAGAGTTGACTTGATGGCACATAATTTGTAATTATTAGATCTGTACATGAGTGCACTGGAACATGGGCAGGATCTCCAGAATAAGCTAAGGGAGGGAAAGCTGTCGTAATAAAGCACTAGAACTTGTTTCTTTAAACAATCAGACACTCCCACCATCTCAACAACTGTTGTTGTTTTTTTGGAAAGGAGGCTTTCAATTTAATATTTTTTCCACAGTTGTGACTAGAGATGGGGATGAATATAAAAACGGACTGGCTTTTTCAATGAAAATAGCTGATTCGTTAAATAGTCGTTGATCCTTATTCATCAAATTTTAAGTCCCGATGAATACGTATCAATGAATATTTTCCTGTTTAAATAGTCGTTGATCCATATTCATCAAATTTTAAGTCCCGACGAATACGTATCAATGAATATTTTCTTGTTTTTATTCGTCTTTGTAAATTGAAAAACAAAACAAAAAACCATTCTGCCTACTGGCCACTAATCAGTTGATTGGTGGGCTGATAGGCAGCCACCCACCCCCATAGCCACCCACCCCCACAGTCTCCCTGTCTTCATCTCCCTGCCTTAGCCCCCCCACCTCCACTGACACCGCCTTACCATAATCACTGCCGCCGCCACCAAGGTCTCCATCTGGCCTCCACAGTCATGGTATGTGAAAAGGGAGACTGGCTGCCCCTTGCAAAGATGGCAGTTGTGGCTTCCTTTA